AGGTAGCTTGTGGCCTTGAACCACGTGTCTTCAGGATTGCAGTACAACTTCTTGCCACTAGGTCACCAGCTTTGTTGTTGTTGTTATGTGCCATCAAGTCATTTGCAACTCATAATGATCCTTTGTACAACAGCCCTAAACCCTTCTCTATTCCTTGCCAATCTCATTGTCTCTGACACGCCTATCCCCATTATCATAGTGACGGAAATCAATCCATCTCACTGAGGGTCTTCCTCTCCTGTCCTGTCCCTCCTCCCTCCTAAGCATGACATCCCTCTGCAAGGACTGGTCCCTCCTTGAAACATGTCCAAAATATGTCAGACAAAGCTTAAGAATTCTTGCCTCCAAGGAGCAGCTTAGCTTCACCCTCTCCAGGTCGAACTTGTTTGTTCTCCTAGAAGTTCATGGTATATTCAATACTCTTCTCCAGTACCACAGCTCAAAGACATTAACTCTCCTTCTATCATCCCTAGTCATTGTCCAGCTCTCTGAAGCACAGCAATTAATGGCAAAGTCCATGGCCTGTATCCGGCACACCTTAGTCTCCAGACTGACATCTTTACTCCTCAGTACCTTGGAGAGGTCTCTGATAGCATACTTTCCCAATACAATTCATCTTTTAATTTCCTGGCTGCTTGTATCAAGAGTGTTGCTTATAGAGCCAAGCAAACTAAAGCTGTCAACAGTCTCAATCTCTTCACCATCTATTATGATGCTGCCAATCTGCCCAGTGGTGAGAATCATTGTTTTCTTGACATTGAGCTTCAATCCATTTGAAGGCTACAATCCTTGGCCTTCTGCAGCAAGTGCTTCTGGTCCTCCTCAGTTTGAGCAAGCAGGATTGTGTTATCTGCATAATGCATTGTTGGTAAGTCTCCCTCCAATCCTGATGCCACATTTCTCCTCATAGAGCCCAGCCTCCCGGATAATCTGTTCTGCATAGAGGTTGAAAAATATGGAAATAGGACATATCCTTAATGCACACCCTTCTCAATTTTGAACTATGCAGTGTTTCCTTGCTCTGTTCTGATGACAGCCTCCTGGTCCAAGTATAAGTTTTGCATAAGCACAATCAAGTGTTCTGGGATTCCCATTCTTCTCAAAATCAGCCAAAGTTTGTTGTGATCCACACTGTCAAATGCCTTTGCAAAGTCAATGAAATTCAGATAGACATTCCTCTGGTACTCTCTGTTTTCAGCCAAGGTCCATCTAACATTAGCTATAATACCCCTAGTGCCACAGACTCTTCTAAATACAGCCTATACTTTAGGAAGCTCTCTGTTGATGTGCTGTTTTAGTCATTTTTTAATGATCTTCAGCAGAATATTTCTTGTATATGATATCAATGATACCAATTTCCACAATCTGTTGGATCACCTTTTTTTGGAATGGAAACAAATATAGACCTCTTCCAGTTGTTTGGTTGATAAAATGTTTTAAAATGCCACTCATTCCAAAGAGGTCACTGAGCTGTCAGTTAAATTAGCTGAATTGACCATAGTGGTAAGGAGTTGCACTGCTAACCAAAAGGTGCACAGTTTGAATCCACCAGCTGCTCTGTGGAATGGGGACAATCATTTCCCATGCGATTTACTGCCTATGAAATCTGCTGAAGTTCAACTATGAGTTGATTTGATGGTTCTCAACAACATGCTTATATACGCCAAAGTTTTGACACAGGTCAGTGTGCTTATTTCCTAAGAGAAATGTATTGAGCAGAGATACGCTGACTTTTTTCTTCCTTCATGACCTTGATAATACATTGACAAGTGGTATTCAGGACTTGCCTAATGGACTAATGATAATTCTTCTGCAAGTTCCCCTTTCTAGCGGAATTTACCTTGAATTCAAGTAAAGTATATTAGAAGACTTTTGCCAAGAGGGACTTTTTACAATAACTGTAGTTCTATACTTATCTGATAGTACTTTGCACAAGAATAGAGAGTAGTAAGAGCAATCATAGACTAAAATAGATGCAAACAGTAACTCCTTTCATGTCAATACTGACTCAAAGACCATTCCAGTACAGGCCAGGAGATCAGGGTTTTAGTCCTTGGTTTACTTAATCAGGGTTAACTAGCAGTGTGACCTTAAGAAAATCACCTTCTCTCTTTGGGCTTTTAGTTCCACAGAAGACAGAAAATTCTATGAGCTATGCCAACAGTCCGAAGTTTGTTCTTTACAGTAACCAAAGATAATGGAAAAATAATGATGACATGAAAGAATGAAATAGAAGATTTCCAAGGGCACATGGAGAAGACAAATGTAATGTACACAGAGACCTGGAGATGGAAAAATCAAAAGGGAAGGTCATGTATGGCATTTCTCAAGCTGAAAGAGTGAAGAAAATAATTAAACCTTGAGTTGCAATATTGAATGCTTCTAGGGGCAAAATATTGGGTAACACAAGAAACATCAGGGAAATATAGAAGGAATACGCAGTATCTCTGAAACAAAAAGAATTGGCTGACATCCAACCATTTTAAGAAATTGATGATGTTCTTCATTGTCATTGAGTCAAACCCAACTCATAGCTGACTCTCCAATGGGTTTTCACAAGCTTGTAATTGCACTGATGTCCTGTCTTTCTCCCATGGAGAAACTAGGGTTTGAACCACTTGCGTTTCGGTTGGAAGTTCAATTCCCTACCACAAGGCCACCAGAGCTCCCTTTTCAAGAAGTGTCATATATTAAAGATCAGATGGTATTAAGAGGGGCCCAAGCTGCATTATAGGTATTGGGGTAGGGGAGGAGCTCTAGGAACTAACAGAAGACCAACTGAAGATATTTGAATAAACAGATGCATAGCTAGAAGCACTCACTCCCCTATGCCAAGAAATTTGGAAGATGGCTACCTAGCCAACTACATAAAAGGTGACAGACATGAAAGGTTATCCAATAAAATGCAGAAATTACTGGACAAAGTCATTAATACTGCTTGGAAGTTATATTTTGCTGAAGGAAATTCATAAACTGTTGCAGGAGTACCTTCAGGAAATTATGATAAATTCATGTTGAATTCAGAAAAGGAATTCAGAAAAGGATACAGAGTAAGAAATATCACTGTTGATGTCAAATGGATCTTAGCTGAAAGCTTATAATACTGGAAAATACTTGCTTGTGTTTTATAGGCTATGAAGAGGTTGATGATTGTGTAGATTGTAACACATTGTGTGCAATAAGATGAAGAAACGAATTCTAGAGCACTTCATTGTGTTCTGGTAGGCTCTGTCCATAGCCAGGAGACAATAATTAAAATAGAATAAGGAGATACCACATGATTTAAAATTAAGAAAGATGTGCATTCAAGCTTCATTCTCTCATCATACTCATTTAATTTGTAGCTGAACAAATAATCTGAGAAATTGGACTTTATAAAGAAGAACATGGCATCAAGACTGTAAGGGAAAAGTCATTCACAATCTGTAATATATAGATGACGCAACATTGGCTGCTGAAAGTGAAAAGGATGTGCATTACTTACTGATGAAGATAAAAGACCATAGCCTTCAGTATGGATCACATTTTAACATAAAGAAAACATAAGTTGTCATAGGTGGGCTAAGAAACATCATGATAAACAGGGGAAAGACTGAAATTTTCAAAGATTTCCTTTTATTTGGATCCTTAAACAACACTCATAGGAGCAGCAATCAAGAAATCAACCGATATATTGCATTTGGTAAAAGTATGGCAAAAGAGCTCTTTAAAGTGTTAAAAAGCACATTTTGAAGATTAAGTGCACATGACCCATGTCATGATGCTTGTACCACCTCACATGTATGGGAAAGCTGAATGGAAGGGGAAGATCAAAATAAGAACTGAAGCTGTTGAATTATAATGTTGGCAAAGAATACCAAATGTACCACAGGCTGCCAGAGAGAGGAGTTTTGGAAGAAGTTTGGCCAGAATTCTCTAGAAATGAGGATGATGAGACTTTGTATGACTTACTTTGGACATATTACCAAGAGAGATCAAACAAAAACTCAACTCACTGTCATTGAGTTGGTTCCAACTCATAGTGACCCTCCATCTGGTTTCCAAGGCTGTGAATTGCAATGGGAAGACTCTACCCATCTTTCTTCCTCAGAGCCTCTGGTGAATTGGGCCTGATGGTGATGCACAGCCTTTCGGTTACCAGCACAACTGCTATGGCCTATGGAAGAAGAAGAAGGAGAAGGAGAAAGAGGAGAAGGAGTAAAAGGAGGAGGAGGAGGAGGAGAAGGAGAAGAAAAGATTCTCAGAAATGGACTGACACTGTGGCTGCAACGCTGGGCCCAAAGAGATGTGAGGATGGCACAGTAATGTTTACTTCTATTGCATATGAGGTTGTTTTGAATTTGAAACAAGCCTAGCCTAGTAGCACCTACCAATGATGTTTATATGCAAAAATATTATCTAACCTGTTTTCGTTTTCTCAGCAGAACAAATAACTTTATTTATCTTGCAAAAGGTCACAGACATTGAGGATTTGTTGTTGCTTTTTCGGGAATTTTGTATTTATATAAGGCTTATGCAACAAAGTGTTCATAGGTCCCAGAACATAAACAATATCAGTCTATATAACATAAACAAAAGAGAGGATGTAATACTTGAAGACATTTTAGGTAAAAGTCTAAAATAATGCTCTACTAACATGCTTCGTTTCACTGCCTCCTATGTTTTGGTGATTTAAGGTGGAGGAAATTTGCACATCATACCTTAACCCAGAAAAATTCTACCCCAAACACAGAAATGACAGATTGTGTCTCTTTAAAATATTGTGCATTGTCTTCAAGAACCAATGAGGGTCATTTATCTCTCCCTTTATAACTCTCACTCCTCCTGTTCTAGAATGCATCCTCCTACTTCGCTAAGTGAAAAACAGAAATGACCAGTTAAAAGTCAAATTGCAAGAAAATTACCTTAAGGAGTTTTTGGAAACATTATCCTGACTGTTTGAGAAACAACAGAGCCTACCACTGCAGCCTCTTGTTAATATGTTCAGATGCTCTTCAAATTCACTTAAAAATTAATTTGTCTTGTTCCCGATTCCCTTCTTTGTAATGCTGTGATGACTTACCTCGGTCTTGATTCCGGTGCCTTTTCCAGTATAATAAAATGGAGATTAAAACCAGAAGAATTATCAGGGAAACGATGCTTAATAATAGTGGAACTGAAAACCAAAAGCCTATGGATATTGAAGAGAGAAAAAAATGAAAACAAAGTCACCAGAAGAATATGTCACAGTAGGCAAAAAGGTGATAAAGGAATTATTGTGATGAGATTTTACTAGCCTTCAACTTCCAGTGAAAACTGTCATTGAGAACACAGGTTTCATGGTTTATATTCATTCATAATTTCATTTTATCTTAATGGTAATAATAGTCTTTCTCACATGATCATTATATGATAAAATCTTTACATGTGTCAGCTCCTTTAATCTGAAGAGTTACCGAAGTATCCCAAGAGTTAGGCATTACTATAAATGTCTTTATTCAACAGGTGGAAAAACTGAGGCTCAAAAAAGTTAAGTGAGCTGAAGATCACACAGCAGTAAACAGGGGAGTTAAGTCTGGTCAAAGTCCTGTTTGCTCTAAAGCACATATTCTCTTCCACAGAGTCTATTAGAAGAAAATATTTAAAAAATGGTAAAAGGTAAAATGATAACTCTAATGATCCCAAAGCCCGGGGGAGGGGGGAGAACAAAGAACCCTTTAAATGTTTTTATTGTATTTTTTAAATCATGCTGTGTTATTAAAGTTCTTTTCAATAGTTAATAAGTAAATACTCTGTCCCTATCTAGAAGCTCTGTTGAAAGTTGTTCAGCATTATTGCAACACACAAGTTCCCCCTGACACTAAATTGGCTGCAAGGATCTCTTCACAAGTGCCTAAATGCAGTAATGCAAACACTGTTGAATAAATTTACCTTCAAATCCACCTTCTGATTATTCTGGGTTTTGCTTAGGAACATCAGACATGCCAATGAATAATGATTACTCTTTAGGGAGCTCTAATAGCCTAGCGTCAAGAAGCTGCGCTGCAATCCCTAAGGCAGACAGTTCAAGTCCACCAGCTGCTCTGTGGGAGAAGAATGGGCAATCTCCTCTTGACTGATTAACTGCCTAACTGCCTCTGAAAACCTACAGAACATTAGCTATGACTCACTGGCACACAACGACTTAAACCATTGCACCCATAAGTATTGCAAGGGTAACTTGTTCCAGGTTTTCCTATTCAAAATGTTGCTCATTTTAAACAAACAAAAAAGCTCATTAATATTTTTTCCATTAATATTTTTTAAGAAATGATACGTCTTTATTTTCAAAACACATTGGTATTAAAAACTGTAATCCATTAATATTTTTAAGGAGGCTTTTTTACCACATGCTTCACCCACAGTTAGCTCATCAAAACTACATAAGGAAACGATTAATGTTTTCTTAAAAAGTCTTATTTCTAAAATTATTGTTCATTTTATCTTCATACCCATAATGCTCACTTAAATCAATGGGGCCAAAAGATAACAGTTTAGAAATAAACACAAGGGGGCAAAAATGAAGGGTAGTTTCTTTTACAAAGAGGTGATAAAGACACTTTATATCAGCCCCTCTTCCAGCACCTCTTCCTTGTCTGTCTAGTAGTGTAGCTCATGCAACGATTTCATCATCAATATAATTTGCAAGTAATCCTCCTAATCTTTCAAAATTGAGTTTGACTCGCTTTATACTCCCAAGTTCTCTATGGTGAATTCTTACTAATGCACTTTACACCCTGTTGTATAAGGAGCTCTGGGAGTCTAGCATACTGTGTTTGAGACTGCTAACCAGAAAGTTAATGATTTAAATCCACCAGCGGCTCTGTGGGAGAAAAATGAGGCTGTCTGCTCTTGCTAAGATTTACAACCTCAGCAATCTACCAAAAGGGGTTGATCAAATGTTATAACTAATCAACTAATTACATAATCAACTGAAATAAATGATATGAAACAAAATGTGTGCAAATAATGTAATTAAAAGTCAAAAGGATTTATAAAATTTTCATCAATTTTTTTAAAAAAATGAAATAAACACATATTATAGTTAAAAAACTATAATCTCTGCAACTTGATGGGGAGGCATCTAATAGACTTGAAATTCTCTGCTCATGACTTTATTTCATATGTTCCGTCTAGGGCTTGGAATACAACAACTATTACATAAATGTTGGAATACAAGAATAAATGAATAGTTTATGTAAACAAAAGCATTTACGATGTGGACACAATTTCTGAAAATTTGCTCTGCTTTCACAACTCTGTTTTTCTTTCTCTGCTTCCTCTTCCCCTTCCCACAAAGCTCCCCTGTTGAGAGGAGAGAGCTTGACACCACCTACCAGGACTATGTACACAGGCAGGGGCATAGCCATCTTTATCGACGTTCTCTTACCGTTGCCCACGGTTTTCCTGAAGTCAGTCACAGTCCCCAGATGCAGCACCTTGCAAATCACCTCCTTCCCCATCTGACTCTCAGGGTCTTTGACATGCAGGACACTGGTGACAGATGTGGTCCCATTGGGGTGTGAAAACCTCACAGTGCTATTCTCAATCCCTGACCCTGTCACGTTCCAGGAGATCTCAGGGGCTGGACGGGCAGTGGCGGAGCAGGTTATATTTAAGTGGTCTTCAAACAATTTGTAGTCAAAGTATACTGTGGGCTGTACTGGGACAAAAAATACAATGGTCTGCTGTTAGTTACATATCTGGTCAGGCCAGGCATTTTACCTCAGAAATAAGGGAAATTTCTGACAAAAATCACACTTGTAACTATAATGATAAGAAACCATGCCCTACCAATAATAAGCAAAGTATATAAACTTCTTAATCATAACCAAACGCCCTGAGAGAATGGGTCACACTAGACGTGGGTGTTTTATGGACCACAGAAGGACATCAAAGTCAACCGGCATAACAAAGTCCACAAAGACAAAGTTCTACATCTTTCTTTGATGAATAGTGACTGGGATCTTAAAAGCATTCAAGCAAATATCAAAGATAGACCTCTTTATTTTTGGAATAAAGAATTCCGAAGAAAATGAAAGAGACATAGAAACAATCAGACCATGGAAAGGCCAGCCTCCATGACCCTGAGATCAGAAAAATCGGTTGGCACCCTGTAACCATGGACCTCCCTAAATGAGATCACATTAGAGGGTCGTGGACAGAATAGGCAAAAAAGGGAAAAAAATGTAAGGATTGTACACCAATGTTCATAGCAGCGTTATTCACCATTGCAAGAACATGAAACAGCCCCAGTGTCCAACCACAAACAAATGGATTGAGAGATTATGGTACATTCACACAATGGAATACTATGCAGCACACAGGAAGAGCATTATGCTGGGTGAACTAACTCAGTCCTACAAGGATAAATATTGTACCGTTATTGTAGAAGGAGTATAAGGATCCAGGAGGGGTAGGAGAGGCTGGAAGCAGAGGGATGTGGATATGCAGGGGAAGGGGTGATTAATCATTGGGTTGTAAAATTTGATGGGTGGGGGGGTGAGGAAAATTGAAATAATTTGTTCAAATTTGTATTAGAATTCTGTAAATAAACTAATAAAAAAGGAAAAAAATATTGAAAAGGCTTGGTGATCTGACAGAGACTGGTAGAACCTCTGAGAAAGACGATGGCCCTTATTCATCCTGCATACTTGGAACTAAACATATCCCTGTGGCTTAACTTTTAGCCAAACCATAGGCTGGTTTAAAAGGTGACCCATAATACCATGGAGATACTCACTCATTAGAGCAACAAACCATACAAGATCAATAGGGCAGCATGGAGGGGGGGGGATGTCCCATCTGACCCAAACTGGGGCCTTCCCAGTTCATTTTCTGTCTAAATCTCTGAACTACAGAATAGAGACTGAGGTAGTACATGCCTGGGAAGAGCTTAAATTGTGTCCATAAGAGAATTGGCTGGATGGAGAGAGGTTGTTCGGAAGCCAGATAATACTCATCCCCCTCAAGCAGTTCAGAGTTTAATGATTCTGTTCTTCTCCTTTCACCATGCAGGACTCTGCCTTCTACTGGGTACCCTGCTCCGAGAGCCTGACTTTAATCCCTGACTAGCCCTTCCACATGTGTAGTCTGTATCTCCCAAGAAGCATCAGAACAGGGATTGCACAGATGGGCTGCTGCTTAAAGATAGTGCTTCTCTGCTTGGTTCTAGACCAACGAACTAGATGCATGAAGGAAATGTGTAGAATTTGTGTGGAAGACCACATAAAATTTTAAAAAAAGAAAAAAATGCAAATGATAGTTTGAAGAACCTTGGAATTAAGGCTAAATAACTAGCTTATGAAAGAAGGATTTTTTTAAGACTAGCTGCAGTCTGTTTTCTTTTAAGAGACTAATGAGTTCACTTTTGTTGAGATTTAATTTATTTTTTCTGAGCAGATGCAGACTTGCCTTTCCAGTAATGCAAGTTGGTTTTGGAGCCCAGAAGATAGAGACTTGTTAAATAAAAGCATGATCTACACAAGGAGGGTGGTGCAATAGACAGTAGGAAGTGAGGCTACTGGACTATGGTTCTATGCAAAGAATGTCTCTATTAACATCAGTATGCAATGGAGAGAGAGCAACAGAAAGAAACAAAGAAGGAGTCTCATGTGGCAAAACTGAACGTCAAGATCCTTGAGCACAGCCAGGAATGGTTTAAATGAAAGTTAAGCTATGAACAGAAAGTGTCAAAATAGAGGAGAACAACAAGATTAGCATTTAGAAGACTCAGAGGACAATATATTAGGGGCTACAAATAGAAAGGATCTTCTAAGTAATGTAGGCAAAAGGAAGAGATAGAGGAGGAAAAGAGAAAAGGGACTGAAACTAAGGACTTGAAGCACTTGCTGCAGAAGGTCATGGATTACAGCCTTCAGTATGGATTGAAGCTCAATGTCAAGAAAACAAAGATTCTCACCACTGGGCCTATTGGCAGCATCATGATAGGTGATGAAGAGATTGAGATTGTTGACAGCTTTAGTTTGCTTTGCTCTACAATCAACAATCTTGATTCCAGCAGCCAGGAAATTAAAAGATGAATTGTGTTGGGAAAGTCTGCTGTCAGAGACCTCTCCAAGGTACTGAGTAGCAATGATGTCATTCCGGAGACTAAGGTGCGCCCGATACAGACCATGCTCTTTGCCATTACTTGCTATGCTTCAGAGAGCTAGACAACGACTAGGGATGATAGAAGGAGAGTTGGTGCCTTTGAGCTTTGGTGCTGGAGAAGAGTATTGAATATTTCATGGGGTGCTAGGAGAACAAGTTCATCCTGGAGAGAGTGAAGGCAGGCTGTTCCTTGGAGGTAAGGATTCTGAAGTTTCGTCTGACATACTTTGGACATGTTTCAAGGAGGCACCAGTCCTTGGAGATGTCTGTTATGCTTGGAAGCATGGAGGGACAGCGCAGGAGAGGAAGATCCTCAGTGAGATGAATTGATTCAATCACTGTTGTAATGGGGATAGGAGTGTTGGAGACAGTGAGATTGGCAAGGGATAGAGCAGGGTTTAGGGCTATTGTACATAGGGTCACTATAAGTCGCAAGTGACTTGATGGCACATAACAACAATAATAATGAGAAAATAGAGGAAGAAGAAATGGAATTGGAGAACGAATAAAGGACAGAAATGAAAATGAAGAAGAAAGCCAGACACAGGATTCCACAGAGAAGATTCATTGAAGACAAAAGAAACATATATTTAATGTTGTCATACCTGCCTTACCTTACCTTACCTATGAGCCTCCTCTTCCTTTATGTCTCTTATTTTTTACATACTCAAATCCTCAGTTACTGTCCTACAAAACTTATACAAAATTGCATTTCTGCTCCTTAACAATCAGCAAGTGTTCTACTCATTAAAGTGACTACTTATTCTTTTTAATGTTTGATCTCAGAATCTCATCAAACCAGTCATCCTGGATTTTGAAAGAATGCTTATTGTTCCAAGGCAGTGTTATTTCAGGTGTGAGGAATCTCTCCTGCATATCATACACTAATCCTGAGCTCACCTCCCTGAAACACAATGAGAAGTCACCACCATAACCAGCTCTGAGTTTGCATAATCTGGTTCTGTTTTTTAACCAAAACTGTTAAAGCTTTAAGGGATCTGAGAAATTGTTGATTTCACATGAATTGGGCAGATAAAGAAACTCAGGTGCAGCAAAGCCAGGTCTGGATTATTGTGATGGTCGTGGAGAGCTATTGTGCTCATCAACTCTCTCAAATCCCCAAAGACTGCTGTTGTTAGTGCCACTAAGTTGCTTCTGGCTCATGGTGACCCCATGACTGCAGAACAGAACTGCTCCATCCAGTTTCAGTGACAGAAGCAGATCGTCAGGCCTTTACCCAAGGAGTTTCTGAGAGGGTTGACACTGCCAACCTTTCACCTAGGGTGCTTAACCATTTGTGCCCCTGCGGGATTCCTTAGAGCAATTACAGCTCCAGGTAAAGATCTCACTGTAGTGCACAGAACTCTCCAATAATTCTAAACACAGCTGCTGAAGGCGCGAGAGGCTTTCTTTTCTGTAGTTAGGACCCACAAAATGAGGTACAGCAACCACATTGCAAACATTCTAGAATATAGCAAATCCAGTCATAGAAGCTCACCATAAAGCGTGAGGCAGGCTTTCCCTGAGATCTTCCCAGCGCCAAATGTATTGAAGAGGCACAAGTAACATCCTTCATCCTCCAGGGTGGTATTCCAAAAGGTTATGGTTGAGTCGTTGAGTCCCAGGTAGGTGATGTTCAACCTGTCCTTAAAGGCAGGCTGAATCACAACCCCATGGTTCTTGCTGTAAGTGACCATGTTCACCGGGCTTGAAGGCCTCATTTTCTGCCACGTCACAATCAAGACTTCCTGGTAAGTGTTCAGAAAACATCTTAGGGACGCAGGTGTGTGCAGTGGCTCTCTTTCATCCTGGGTCACTACTTGCACTGTGAAGAAAATAATTTAGAGTTTAAAATTTTAAAAAATAAGCAGACAGAAAATATAGTCTTCTAATGATAAAAGCAATGTGTATTTAAAGTTGAAGACAGAAAAAGAACGGCCATAAAGCAGAACATGTCATGTATCTATGCTCCTGATGCTGCTAAGAAAGTGTAGGCTCAAATGTGTGCTCAATATTTAATCATTGTTGTTGTTGTACACTGTCAAGTCAGAATCAACTCATCGCTGACCCTCTTGGCTATAAATTGCAAGGGAGGAGATTGCCTATCTTTCTCCCTTAAAATGGTAAGTGGATTTGAACCACTTGTCTTTGGGTGGCAGCTCAACTCCTTAGCCACTAAAGCTCCCCATGTAAAAGTAGTGTAGCAGAATAGAAATGTGCATATTACTTTTTAACTCTTTGGTCAAATAAAAGTCATAATGGAAATAATACATTCTCTGAGTATAATAGAAAAAATTCTGTGGAAACAGGTAAATCAGTTCTCACAGAGAAGTGCTTAGCTTTAATTAATAGCATACAACAGAGAAGTACATCTACATAACTTCTAGCTTTCCATAGTTTTCTGTAACTAGGAGCACAACCAATTTAAAACAGATGGCCAAATTACTTTAGAAAAAGGTAGTATCCATTCACACTTTGCTAAGTACTCCCATTACAAACACAAGATTATTATTATTATTATTATTATTATTATTATTATTATATTAAAAGTAATCTAATTTTACTGGTGGGAAAACATACTCATTTAATTTCGAGTATTCACATATTTTAAACCTAGCTCAGCTACAGGAACAGCTTCCATATATCCAAATGTTCTCCCACACTGAAAATAACCACCTGGGAAAGAGAAAGAAACCCACCCATTCTTCCAAGCAAAACATTTTTAAATAATTCAAGCTCAGAAATGGAACCATTATAGCGCAAACTAGAGTGGCAGCTGTGTTTGCGGACTTTGAGTGGGGTGATTTGAGCATGTTTACCTTGTGCTCTGCAGAGCACCACGGCTGCCATGCTCCACATCAGACTGAAGGCACCCAGACGGTAGCTGAGCCTCCCACGCACCTGAAGACAGAGAGCAAAGTACAGAAACAGGGGAATGGGATTCAGACAGAGCCAAAGCATTGCAATCTATTCTTTATTTCAGGGATGGTTGCAACAAAATTCATAACTCACCAGATAATTTTGGTTTTTGTGGAAGCAAAGCCAGAGGCTATGTAAATAGAAGGAATGACAGGGTGTGTACATAGAATCTGAGGAGGAAAAACAGCAACATGGCTACTTAATTACAGTAATCCTTAGAAAAGTAGGGCCTTGCTTTCTTAAAAAAAAAGAAAAAACACAGAACATGAGCAAAGGCACCAGTGAAGAAAAGCAGATTCTCAGAGACAGGTTTATTGAAGAAAACAAACTTCCATAAAAGGTTACTGGAGACAGAGCGTACAATGTTAGCCAGCACACACTTTCAAAAATAGCTCACATCTGTTAATATTAAAAACATGCAACTCAGGATAAGCATTCTTCAAAAATGTCATGTAATAACCTCGAAGTTTATTGAGGCAGGTTTTCCTGCAAATTTTATATAAATTGTAGCTTTTCAAAAGCAACTGTTGTTGCCAGCTGCCTTTTGTGACTCCCAGAGATTTCATACCAAAAAGAGACTGGACCACAGTTGTCCAGAGGTTTTGCTGGTTCACTTTTGGAAATAAAGCTCCTGGTCTTTCTTCCTACTCTCAGTCTGGAAGTTCCAAGAGAACATATTTAGGATCAGAGCAACATGTAAGCCTCCTCCTACTGAAGGGTAATGGCTGCACTGTGGTCCACTGACTGGGAACTGAACCTGTGTTTCCTGAAAGGAATCAACCCCTCCACCTGTGACTCAACTAAGGGAGACCAATCTCTTCAGCAGTCATGCCTCAGCCTTCCCGGGGCTAACTTTCTGGAAGTGGCTGTGTGCGGAAGCATCATATCTGTAGCAATCTTGGTGAAGGCCTTTTATTGAACATTATGATTGAGACTGACTTGCTGTACAAAGGCTCTTCTTTAGCACCCACCATGACTGCCAGATACATGAAGTCTCCATCAGAGCATTTCAATTGCTTTTTAAGGATTGATGTCTGGAAAGGATGGTGTCTTATCTCCCTTTTCCTCAATCTCCAGTGCCACCTCAATGTCTTCTCTTCAAACAGGGAACACGGATCCCTTGTATTTTCTGCCTAGTGATTCATGGAGTGGACAGCCTGGGGCCCAATGACATGGATCTATGTAGTGGTATAAATTGATCCTTACTTGTACCTCTAAGCAGCAGAGGGTCAATAGTTCTATCATCTGAAGTGACGTCATTATGACAAATTGTTGTTTGTTGCTGTTATGTGCCATCAAGTTGCTTGTGACTCATAGTTTGTGACAACAGCTCAGAACCCTGCTCTATCCGGAACCAATCTCATTGTCTTCCGCAACCCACCCCCCCCCCATTACCGCAAGCCACTGAGTCAAAATCCATCTCATCCAGAGTCTTCCTTTCTTGCGCTGTCCTTCTGCCCTTCATAATTTTGCAATTTGTGACAAATTTACAACAAATATGTTATCCGAAGCCGAAATATATCATAAGCATTCACTGCCCTTTTTTACATCTTTTCTTCTTCTCTTCATAGGGCGAAGTCCTGTACCTTTCCTCAAGACTTCTATGACGCTTCCCCAATCTTGGCTTTCATTAAGCCCTCCTTCCTCAAAAATTCTTAATTTAGAATTTCATATCCAGATAAATTAACCACAGAAAGGTTAAAAGTGTTTGAAGAAATTACGATAGGGTTTTTTATTTTTTTTAAAAAAAAAAGGAAGATTGATTTGGGAAGAATAATAGAATGTAGGAAGCAAAAATGAACAAAGAAAAAGTATATAAAGGGAAAACTAAATGTTGAAAATCTAAACATGAAAGGAGTGTGCATTGAAATGACACTTTTTTAAAAAAAAGTATATTTTTCAAATAAATTGTATGAAGAATTTTAATATTTAAAGAAAAGATAAAAGCAGCTTTAGTTAGAGTTGAGAGACCCCATATGTTCACTTCTGGTGCTTATTTTTTGTCCTTCCAAAAGGTATGGCCCCTGGCGCACCTCTGCAGAAACCTGGGTTCCTAAGAGTTATTGGCAAACTATTGTTAGAATCCTTGTCATGTATTTAATTGATCTGACCCTTAAACTAGTTCCTCTCTCAATGTCGTCAAGTTGGAACTAACTCATAGCTGACCCTCTAGCATTTTTTTTTTGAGGGGCTACAAATTGCCTAAGAGGAGATTGTTCATGGTCTCTGGCTGAGTCAAACAGCCAGAGGCGCTACAGTGCAACTCCCTACAGACTAGGCCACTAGTGATTGTCACCTGTGACTCATCGCACCCCCCACCCCTGGCCTCTGAAGCCTGCCCTGTCCTGAGCCAGTCTCACTGACTCTGACACACCTCTCCCATTGCCCCAGCTTCTAATATCAATCCATCTCATCTGGGATCTTCCTCTCCTGTGCTGTTCCTTCATCCTTTCAAGCATAATGTGCCATCAGAGCCATCAAATTATTAATTTAGACTGTAAATATCTTGTTTCTAGAACTAGGTTAATTATCTATAACTGGAAAGCTAAACCATCTTCTATTGTCACCTTATTGAGATTCTTCTGTTTTTTTAAATCTTATTTTTCTAATACAGTTTTTATAATAGAGTATAGCATTATCAAGATTGTCATACTCTTCTTGCAAAAAATAGTGAACTAAATATTCTTTCAATTCACTCCAAACTTCTTTCCTCCCCCCACAATATGCTATTTTCTAGCCTTTTATGTCCACTTTAATTACAAGAGTTAGTTACTACTTGACATATTCCCATCTTCTTATTAGAATCAATACTTAAGGTTTTCACTAGGTTACACATTTTTCCTTGCTACATTCTATTCTTTCTGAATTTATTTTCCTTCTTCTAAAAAGAACTCTTTTCATGTCCTTCCAACACTTGTAGACTCTCTAAAATGTTTTTTATTCTAGATTTAAGACATTCTGGCACTACATGTGAGACTGCTAACCAAAAAGTCAGAGATCCAAACCCACCAATCACTCCACGGAAAAAGATGAGTCAGTCCTTTGTAAAGATCCATATCTTTAAAACCCTGATGTTATAACTGACATAAAGGCAGGAGGTTTGGATTTGACTATAGAAGTATCCTCTAACAGACATTTCCCTTGTATAATTTTATTTCATGACTTTTTAAAATCTGTCGCTGATGATGAAAAGTCTTCTGTTAGTCTGAGTGGTAGTATACCATTATAGGAAGCCTGTCTTCACTCTCTTATCTTTCTCTCATTGCCAGCAAGTCAGAACTGAGTCTGAAACCCTAGTAGGTGTCCATAGCTGTAAATGATAGGGCCTATCTTCTCTCTGGTGGATTCAAACCACCAGAGAAGCACCAATTTTATGTTGGCAACACACTCCTTAAGGATGGTGCCACCAAAACTACCCTTTCCTCTCTTACAGCATTTAATATTTTCTTATCTCCAAAGGTATCTAAATGTGGATTTATTTTTGCTTTTGTAGACATTTATCCTTCATTTCTTGTATAAAAAGGGCTCTAAAATACATATATATATATATTATACTATGTATTATAGTGTGTGTGTGTGTGTGTGTGTGTGGTCTAGTGGTAAAAAACTACACTGCAATCTCAAAGGTGTGTGGTTTAAATCCACCAGATGCTTGAAGGAGAAGGATGGACAAACTCCTCCTGTATGATTTACTGTCTCTGAAATCCTTCTGGGGAATCAGCAACTGCATTCTCTCTCTCCCTCCCTCTCCATATACAGAGAGAAAAAGAAAGAGAGAGAGAATGAAGGGTGGGGAGAGAGAATACCCTGCATTATCCCCATTTCCCCTTCTCTAAATCCTCTTTCTCTTACTAGATCGCCTATTAGTGGGAGTCACTTATTCTTCTCTAACTTCTTCACCACTGTACTCTATACTTTGGGATGTCTCTTAAGGGGCTTCTCTTCAAACATGCCAAGCCAACTCAAGAACCGTTCTCTTGAGATTTTTTTTCTTTATATAAAAAAAATCATTTTTTTTACTCTTAAGATTTCCAATTTCTTATGTACATTCAATGACATTGTTTGAACATATCTGATTCAATGAATTGTATATATAAATTGCTGGGAAGAAAGTAAGCACTAAACCAATATTAGTACTTGGCTGCATCACCAATCACCTGACAATATCATAAATCCTGTCTTTAGATATTAGTGTCAAACCCTAGAAGGACCCCAGATTACATATTACCTTCATTTACAACAACCTCTGAAAGGTACATACCTCATCTGTAAACTTCACCACTAACAGTTACTCTTACTCAACTTCTACACACTTGAAAGTTTCTGGAATCTACAATAACAAGACCACCCACTGCTCTGAAGACAAAGTTGATATAACTGTTCTGAAAATTACATTTCCACATACATGCTCATCTTTCACCATCCTACTACATTATAAAGACTTTGGATTTGAAGTGATTCAGGAATATCTAAACATTTTCTTAGTATAATTCTTAGAATCACTGATAGGCAACCAGAGTTCTCTATCTAATATTGTAGGAGAGTTAGAAAACACAGGACAAAGGTTTCCTCTATCTCAGTTGTTGCCAATAGCCAAACTATTCCCTTTTATTTCCAAACACAGTAATTTTGGACAAAGATACTGACATTACAATTCTACACCTTTTTCCAATCCGTTCTTTCTCTTATAAATAACATACAACAGAGAAGTGTACCTACATAACTTGCAATTCTTCATGTTTTTCTAACAAGAGGCACATCCAATTTTTAAACTGATCACATTCCCACTACCAACACAAGACATTATTATTATTATTTTTAAAAGGTTACTTATTTGACCAACGTGGGAAAATACTCATTTAATGTAGTTATTGTTGCTATTATGTACCACAGAGTTAGAACTGACACATAGCTGACCCTCTGGTAGGTTTTCAGAGGCAATAATCGCATGGGAGGAGATTGCCCGTGCTTCTCTCCAGGAG